CATGGCAACTACTGGTCAAACCCACCCAAGGATGAGCTCTATATTCAATAGTGAACAGTTAACAGGTGATGTGATATGATGATGATGATGATAATACATTTAATTAATACTTTCGAGCATCATATAACAGATAATTAGTAGAGAATGCCATATAGCGTAAAACACGCCTTTTGTACAACGTTTTATGGTACAATAAAGAATAGTTTACCAATAATTTACCAGAGGGAGACTTTATACAAAAGTCGATTGCTTGGATACCTCTGTCCCATTCGTGTTTCAAGCCTGAAGCAGTTGTGTTTGCATGGCTGTGTTTCGTTTTGAAGGGTGGGATATGGCGTGAATTTACAGGATACAGAGGAATAACATCTGAGTCCTCAGGAATGGCAACGCATGGGGGATATCATGGGCGAAACAGTATACTCCGTTATGTCCATGATACTGCTCATGTCTATAGGCGACGGTTACCACTTTCCATCAGGTGGGCCGTCAGCTTGTTTGCCATTCTAAGTTGTATAAAAAAAAAAGAATAAATAAATAAATAATTACTTTCATTACTTAATCTGTTTGACACTTTATTATCTTTATTCATAAAGAAACCTCGATTTCTGTTAATTATTTATTTTATTTATGGGTTATTGTACGCACTAATAATATATAAAAAATATAACAGTGTTAAGCAAATGTACAAAGGTCAGCTTGACTCAAAAAGAGTTATTTTCCAACAAACCCAAAGTGGAAAGGAACATCAATGTCAGCGAGTAGAGCGGTGTACAATATTGTGATAATTTTCAAACAAGAAGAACTAGAGAAGTTTATATATAACTATTTATATCATACTTAATCATATATATATATGTGTATACATACATAGATTTATGTATGTGTATATATACCCGTATGTACATACACATACATGCGTTCTTTGTTTCAGTTCTGCTCTAATTAGCTTGATAGAAGTGTTTTAAACGCATCTTTATGCATATTCTTGATCTACTTATCTATTGGGTTAACATATAATGCGTATATTGCAAATAATTTTAGTAGGATAATAAAATTCTAACTCGATAATTTCTGTTCATAGGGGGGCCATTTAAAAAAAAATATGAGAGATCTTAATAAGACCAATAAATGCCTTTATTGGCATTTCAAAATATTTTTTTGTAATAATAATAAATAGGTAAATCTTTTTATTTCACGTTCATACCCATTGTTTACCTTCTTTTGTGTAATTTAATTTTAGTTAATTATAATATCTACATCATACAAATATTAGTTAATTAAATATTTTATATTAACATTGTTTCATTTTATTATAAATTTCTTGGTCCTTTTTTCAAAAATTTAAATTATATAAATAATAAATTTGTGTGAATACAAACTACTAAGCAGTATCAAATCATAAAATTAAAAAGTTTGCAGTTTAATTTCCCTAATAATAATAATGTTTAATACTCTTCTAAACTATCGTTTCTCAACCGGGAGTTCACATTTGTTATTAAAGGGGGTCGTAGACTGTTGAAAAATATCGAGACTTCAGAAGGTTCGTTTAACATAGCATAGTATTAATAATAGAAATTTGTTATTAAATGTATAAATAAACTATTTATTCAAATATTATGATAATGACAAAATTATAAAATTAAGGTATATGCCCACTGATTCACTACCAGCAGATGTTTTGACAAAACCTTTAGGTCATGTTAAGCATTTACGATGTATGACGAATGTGGGCATTGGGTAACCTTTTATATTGTTATTTTTGTACCAGTATTTTTTTGGCTTTTACGTGGATCGCGACGTAAAAATGGTTGAGCAACAATATTCTGAACTATTATTAAAAAGTGATTTTTTTTTTATATATATTTTATGTATTTGTAATGGATAAACTTTTAAATCGCTTAACTGTTTTAAAAATTCTTTCACTTATGCAAATCTATATTATCAGTAAGTAACATAAATTATATTTTATAAAAAAATAAGAAATACTAAACTGATGCTAGACCGCTAATAAGTGATAAAAATGTAATTTAATCCTGACCACTTTATCGCTTCACTTGAGCAAAAACCGAGACGAACAAGTATTTTTCAAGTCCTTACATATTGCACTTCAACGTAATAACAAACAAGAAATAACAGTTTGCGTGTACGAGTGTGCAAACTTCACAAATTACAATTTTACTCCTACCCCCCCCCCCCCCGTTATGTTGTTTTGTTTTTGACGTATTCACGTATTTTCAGACTGTTTACCGCGCCACTGTCAGTGTTAAACAAATTTAAACTTTACCCATTAAACAATACATTCCAAAATTAGTTTTTGCCGTTTAAATTTCCAGTTACCACTGTCTTTTGCAGAGTAACGAATATTTTAAAATACATTTCAAATAGAACGTCTCTTTGTTATAATGAATTCGCATCGTAATATGTTGTATTTTTTGAATTTTCATTAAATCTTCTTATTTTGTAAGCACTAGAAGTATGCTTTGTACCAAATAACTTAAGACTGTGTTCCATAATAAAACTAACTTCAGTTGTGGCAAAACTATTTATTTTAGTTTAAAAACTAAACTACTAAACCGCTTTTAATAAAAATGTTACGGAACTAATCAGTAAGTATAACTTTTCATTAAAAAAAATCCAAATCGGTTTGCTACGGACAATTAATAGTTATATATATATATATATATATATATATATATATATATATATATCTTGTAATTGTTTGTATTTATATTAAGTTTACTATTGTAATCTTTTGGAGGAAACAATAAAGAGTATTTATCTATCTATCTATATATATATATTAATAATTTAATAATAATAATCATAGTTAATACTAGGCTCCGAGCAGCTATCTAATAATTAGTCAAAAGATGCTTCGTTTAGAGTCCATATACCTCATATGGAAGGTTGTGGAAATTCTAAAAGTAATAGTGGTGGTCAATCTTACTAACGGTAGCGGAATTAAACAAAATAATTCTAATTAAATAAACAAAATTATTATTTATCCTTATATCCCTATAATTTTTTTTTTTTTTACAAGATACCAGCAGAAAATCTACGTTACGGTTACTCTGCAACTTATTAGGAAATTTTTGTTTCACTTATAAATTCATGAATTCTGCGCTTGTAATGGTGAATAAATAATTTATTTATTTATTTATCTATCTATCCTAATTTACGCAGAAAGACACATATATATAGCTAGTATTTTATTATTAAAATAATACGATAACAATTATAAACAAATAGATAACACATTTTTTGTAATCTTTCTTTCATTTCACTTGACACGTTTTTATCTATATAGTCACTTCACTGATATCAATTATAGACACTATGGTAATTGCTGATGGTTCAGTTTAGCTTGTTCCGTGGGTCACCACTGTGAACGGGAGGTGTCAAAGTCAAACAAGTGACAGTGATAGCACTCGTAATTCTATTTTTATATTTGACAGATAATAGAATCAATTTGTATGGAAAAAATATATCGATAATTCGTTCAATCATACAAATTATTTTTAAAAACAAAACAAGTATATTATAATTTATTTGTTATGTCTATTGCTAATTTCGTGGCCATTTGGTTGGTTACAAACAGTCCTCTTCCTTCTATGATCCTTACTGAAATTATAAATGTCAAAGTGAGTTTTTTGTTTGTTACCTTATATATTATTAGCGTCTTGACGGCTTAACCAATCACAAGGTTTAGTATATATGTACTGTATGGGATGGGGATGTATATGGGCTTCTTTTTTATCCCGGTCAGTAAATATATCTCGGTCACAAGGACAAAGTTGCGGGTATAAGCTGTTATTAATAAAAAAAATCATTTTTTAACTGGAAATAGTACGTTTACCGGTTAATAATTTAAAATTATGTTCTACTAAAAAATCACACTTCGATTGTGGTAAAACCAATTATTCTGATTATTTTTTTATACTACTTAGAATGATAAACAAGCTGACGGCCCACCTGATGGAAAGTGGTAACCGTCGCCTATAGACATGAGCAGTACCATGGACATAACAGAGTATACTGTTTCGCCCATGATACCCCTCATGCGTTGCCATTCTACAAAGACTCAGGTATTATTCCTCTGTACCCTATAAATTAACTGCCATAGCCCATCTTACAAACTAAAACACAGCCATGCAAACATATAATTTTTATGCGATAAATCTGAAAGTATCACCATCAATCATTTCAACTAAAACAATATTTTTTTTAAATCGATTTATAACTGATGGAAAAACGAGGTAACAAACATAAAAAATATACTACCATAAAGGGAACCTTCGTATTTTTTGAAGTCTGTTGACATTTAACTCCCGTATAACATGTACGTGTAAACACTTATTAAATCTTAAACTAGAGAGATTACATTCTGTAAGAACATACCAACCTCAAAGGTGAAACAATTTAGTTTCGAATACAGATTACAACACACACCACTCTTACTCGATTGCTCTTAATATCTAAAAGAGTACTTGAATTACAAAGCTAGAATTTACTAAATAGATTCTTTGTAGAGTTTTTTTTTATAACATATATACATAGGGAGACTTTGTACAATAATCGATCGCTTGGGTACCTCTGTCCCATTCGTGTTTTTACCGTGAAGCAGTTGTGTTTGCATGACTGTGTTTCGGTTTGAAGGGTGGCGTGAATTTACAGGGTACAGAGGACTAACACCTGAGTCCTCAGGAATGGCAACGCATGGGTGGTATCATGGATGAAACAGTATGTCCATGGTATCTCTGTTATGTTCATGGTACTGCTCATGTCTATAGGCGACGGTTACCACATTCCATCAGGTGGGCCGTCAGCTTGTTTGCCATTCTAAGTTGTATAAAAAAAAATATATTGGGGACGGAGAATAATCCAATAAATCATAGAACATTAAAATCTCTCCAGCCGTTCTGGAGTTATATACGGTGTAACTTACCCAACTCTGTTATGTTATATTTATAAAAGATTAATAGGATTAAAGAGATACTCACACTGCATGACGATAGACAGCATCAATATCCACCACATTTCCAAAAATCCAATCGTGATAACACTTCTCAATCACAATGGTTACACAAAAAGTTTCTCGAAAAGTTAAAAAGTTTCGAAAACAAATTCCTCCAGCGCAGCGACCGAGCCGAGCGACAGTTGAAAATATGCGCGCGCAATATGTTCTGCAACTTCGAAGGTAAATAATCACTGTTCTCTTAAGTTAATTAAATTAAAAAAAATATATCCCCTTTAAGATCTTTAAAAGAATTATCTCGCAATAACATTTTGAATAAACAAAACACTATCTTATCTACAAACACTTAAATCTCATATTTCATAGTTACTTCTTAACGGCGTCGTAAATAAACATTACAAGTTTATAATTAAAAAAAAAAAAACTAAACTGACAGTTGCGTTCAAAACTCGAATAGCTACGTTCCCAACGTGTGTGGGGTTCAAATCCGGGCTGGAAACTAACCGCCGAAGCAACTGGCGTCCGGTGGTAAGCGAACCATATCGGAAGCACTCGCCGCATTGTGTAGTTATTGGTTAATTTATTCTAATACTTCACTTACACACGATTCTTGAGTGGACTGCTCAACAAAATATCTATCGTAAAGAATTGAGTAATATTATATTTCAAATAGTTAGAAATTGCTGCGAAAAAAATAGGTAATTAAGATGTTATAGATTTTTTTTTATTGCTAAAGAACAATTTATTTATTTAACACTTTATTGCACTAACATAACAGAATTTGTTAAACAATATTCAATACGTATAGTGTAGTACAAAAAGCGGTCTTATTGATTTCACAATTTTTTATTGATTACTTAAGAACTTCTTCGATTTCACAATTTTGTTTTTAGTAATAATTTTGTTTTTATCACTAAAAACAAAATTGTTTTAACAAAACAAATTCGAAGAAAAAGTACTATTTTATTAATTTTACAATTTTTTTATTGCTTAAGAACTATTTTAAACTGGTTAAACTGGAATATATATATATATATATATGTATATATATATATATATATATATAAATAAATATAAATAAATTAAGTGCAGTTTTATACTTGATTTTTTATACCATGATTCCAAGACAAACATACAAACAGACAATACATATTCAAAGCATGGAAAACGATCTTTTAATGGTTTTATTACAAGTACTCGTAAAATGTAAATATACAAATTAAATGACGGAACCTAAAATTGCTTACTCATACAATAATTACGCCATATTAAGTCGCTCATTATTCTCTCGAATCGCATCGCATGTCACATTGTCCAAAGAAAGAGCCTCTTGGCAGGATCTTCCGGTAATGTCGCTATTGCGATTATCTATTCACGTACTTAGTTAATTTGCATCGTGACACCTTTGTATGCGTATATAGTTCATGGTTACCGGCCTTTATCTATTCAAATTACTACACAATTGCCTGCATATGTGCTCACAGTGCTAATATACTTTTTCTTTAACTATTTTTACTATACACTGTTACTATATGTATACTATCGTAAGTCGATTGCTTGGGTACCTCTGTCCCATTCGTGTTTCAACCGTGAAGCAGTTGTGTTTGCATGGCTGTGTTTCGGTTCGAAGGGTGGGATATTGCGTGAATTTACAGGGTACAGAGGAATAACACCTGAGTCCTGAGGAATGGCAACGCATGGGGGGTATCATGGGCGAAACAATATACTATGTTATGTCCATGGTACTGCTCATGTCTATAGACGACGGTTACCATTTTCCATCAGGTGGGCCGTCAGCTTGTTTGCCATTCTAAGTTGTATAAAAAAAATATACTATACAATAATTAAGGGTCCCGGGCAGTTCTGAAACTAGTCGAGATTTAACAATTAAAAAAATTATGTGTACTTTAATTATTCCAGTTATTATTATATTATAATATAAAGTATATTTATGAAATATTTAATAATAAAATTAACAATAAAATTAATTGTGTTGTTGTTTAGTGATAAAAAAAATGCTAAAAAAGTATTTCCAAACTGTTGTAATGAATTTATGCCAAGTAGTAATATCAAAACACTAGGTGTCATGTCGTATAGGGAGGTAAAAAATATGGCCTGTAATAGAACTGGCTGGAAGAGAATGCATAAATTAGTTGTTCCAACAAAAGAAAATTTTTAAATAAGACGAAGAAATTATATTGAAGTTTATTAAAAAATAAAAACAAATATTAGGCAATTATCTAAATAAAAAAGAAACATAGGCATTTTTAAAAAGATGTAATAATATAATAAAATCGTAACTAGACAACGACTGCATTTGAGAGACATTTAAAAAAAAACAATGTATGGGCACTTAAAAAGACCGATAGATGCCAAAACGATATTTTTGAGAAATTTTATTTATCCGTCCATCTATATGTTTGTATCGACATCACAAAAAAATAATAAACCAAATTAAATGCGGTTTGCAGAGTTGTATTCCTAAAGGTTTAACTCAAAAAACTGGTAACAAAAGCAGATATAGCATTCTGCTTTTTAATTCTTAGTCGAAGCACTAAGCGTACTTTCGCTGACTGTAAAATATATTCTCTAATTAACAGCCACCTGCTTTTGAAAGTTCTAGAACTACTTGCAATTTTTATTATTCACATCTGTACACTGGATCGCCTAGCAGCTTTACTGGTAAGATAGATTAAAAAAGAAACTTATATATTCTTTGATGTGTTTGAATAATAGTGAATGAATGAATGAATGAAAACTATTGTTCCTTTCAAAGAATGAGACAGATTATAAATATTAACTACACTAAAAAAATATTCTACACAAATAAAATTAATACTAAATTATGTAAAATGTATAACATTAAAGCATGTTAAAGGTGCAACAATGGACGACTTTATCACTAAACAGCGATCAGATCCAGACAGACAACCTTATGGTGGTAGGTCTCATGAAAAACAATGCTACACGAAGAAAAAGAAAAACATTCACTGGTTATGATAATAAGCCAAACATGTTCATGTACAAAACTGCATTTAGATAAACATAGTACATATAATAAAGTAGTATATGTAAGAGTGTAATTGAAGAAAATTAGAAAGTATAACAAAATTTTTAAAATATGGTAGCCGAACTAAATCTGTAAAATGGAAATGGACAGGGAATATGATACAAGATAAAAAAAAAACTAAATAGACAAGACTTATATCAAAGTGATACTGTAGCTAGAACAAAAGAATAAGAGGAAGAAAACGTAAAGAGGCTGGTCCCAGTAGAAGAATGAAAGCCAAAGATAGATAAATTTAGAAGTGTCCAAAGCAGGCATATGTCGGTTAAACAAAATACAGAAGATAAATAAAGAAAAAGCATTAAGAAAGGAAATGTTTATACTTATAATAGAAAATAGGTCTATGAGTGGTAATACGTTTTTATGAATAAAGGGATTTCTTTAAACTTGTTATTGACTAAACATATCAAGAAACATAAAATTCTAAAGATAGATGCATCTACAATAACCTATTAACATCCAACTAGTGGACACGAATCTCTCCTAACAATATTTATTATGTTGATCTCACTGTGAAGAACTTGCAGTCCTATGAGATAAAAATTACTCGTAGATTATATGGAATTCTCTTCAAAATATGGACAAATCGATAATTTTATATGCATCAGACAAAATACAATATACACCAATTGGAATTACAGTCGTAAATATATTTAATAAAAAAAAGTACTTAAATATATTCTGTGGCCCTATATACCTATATATATACCAGAAGCAATAAATTCTGCGAGTTTCGCCCACGCGGAAACCGGTATCTGCCGGTCCCGTGAGCATTTATAAAAAAATCATTCTTAGAGAATATGAACGGTTTTTATACAATTGTAAACGATCTGAAAGTCCATTTTTTTTATCAACACAGGAAACAAATGAGCATGCAGCTCACCTGATGGTAAGTGACTACCGCCGCCCATGATCACCCACAACGCCAACGGCATTGCAGGTGTGCTGTCGGCCTTTTAAAAAAGAATATGCTCTTTTCTTGAAGGTTATGATGTTGTATCGTTTTGGAAATACTGCTGCTGAGAGTTGATTTCAAAGAGTGGTTGTGCGTGGAAGAAAGTGCCTTGAAAAACGCACCAGTGGAAGACCAGTTTCCAGGGGGGACCACGTATATGTCAACCTGATCGAATATATTGCTAGCAATGGAGGCCTAAGTCTCCATTATTAACAATCCCTTCCCCCCATTTTTGTTATTAGTTTGATATTGGACCTGACAATCGGGTCTTCAGTTCATCGCGATACTGTACGAGTCACATCAGGGGACACTGATATTGAGAGAATCCTTGAAGCAGTCGTCATAACTGGAGTGGTTAGAATCTCTATTTATATAGATAGTGTACGAAAAATATTAGGTCACAATTAATTAATAGTATAATTAAATTAATTAAACTATTAAGAATTGCAGTGTGGTCCGGACATAGAATAGGCCACCTCCTATCCCGTAGGTGTCATAAGAACCGACTAAGGGGAAACAAGAGATAGGCAGCAGCGTCCCTCTTAAAACATCTCCAAAATCTTACTGCGTTTGCCAATCCACCTGCCAAGCATGGCAACTATAGCAAAACGGGGAGACTTATGTTCAGCAGTTGACAGTTAAAAGCTGATATAATATGACTAATAAGAATGACTATTTTATTTAAGAACCAAAAAAGGTCTAAACTAAAACTGACATTTATCAATGCTATCATCATCGTCATATCAGCCCTTAACCGTCCACTGCTGAACATAAGCCTCCCCCTTTGGGGGTTTGTCGGTAGTTGCCAGGCTTGGCAGGCGGATTGGCAACGCAGTCAGGATTTAAAGATGTTTTAAGAAAAATGCTGTTGCCCATCTCTCGCTGTCTTTTAGTCGTCTTATGACACCCACGGGAAAAGAAGGGGTGGCCTATTCTATGCCGGGATCACACGGCCAATTCGAACAGTATGTTCGATCAATGGTATAAAAGCAATCTTTAAGCATCATTATGGTTATACAATGAACTTTAATTCAATATTCTATCGCTGTATTGTCAATTGCCATCAATTATTATTATAAAGTCAACCGGCAACACAGGAAGCGTCCGCCGTTTATATTAATTGAACGCTAATGTTATTTGTTGAGAATCTTTTTCTATTTTGTTCAGTCATTGTTAGACAAATGAATAGACGAGACTGTCGATGGAGGAGTTTTTTTTTTTAATTATTTAAAAATAGAATGACGACACCAATCGAAGCTATAGATTTAAATTGGCAGAGATTAGTGTAGGTGATAAAGGTTCATCAAAAAGGAGCTAAAGAGGTTTCTTCAGGGTCGGCAACGCGCGCGTAATACCTCTGATATTACATGCGTTCATAGGCTACTGTAACCGCTTACCATCAGATGGGCCGTATGCTTGTTCACCACCTCAGTGATATAAAAAAATTGAGGCAAAGTAATTTTTTTTATCATTATTATAGCAAACGGTAACTATC